GCAGGAATCTTCGCCCGACCCTCCTGCCTCCACGTTCCGCTCCCTCGGGCCTCCACGTCAGCTCAGCCCTGCAGCCAGAGGCACACCCAGGCCCGGGCGGCCACTTCCCAGCCCCAGATGCCAGGCCTTGGACAGGCCCCAGTGCAGCTGGCGACCAGCACCCGTCCCTTCCCGTCCCGTGTGCTCGCTCTGAGCACACGCCCCCGCCTGACCTGGTTTCTGGGCTCCTGGGGCCCCAGATAAAAATCTCCTCTCCGGGACTCGGTGTAATTGCCTGTGGGGCCCGGGAGGGCCAAGGCCTTTGCAGATGGGGGTTGGCAGCGGCTGGCGTTTTAGCCGGAAAGTCTTCCCGCGACCTCTGGGCCTGTGTGGCGAGTAGGAGGCCACGGAGTTCCTAGGCCCCGTCCTGTTGCGGTTTCTCCAGCCCTCGGTGGGGCTGGGCAGCAGGCCCTGGCTTGGCTGGTGTGCCCACCCCTCAGGCTGTCCCCTCCCCTCCCTCTGCTCTGAAACCGGCAGCTTTTCTTAACAGGGACGGGGTCAAGCCCGCCGACCCTCCATCCTCGTGTGCATGCAGGCTCGGGGGTGCACACGAGCCCTGCTGTGCTCCCCACAGGTGAATTCAGCTTCCGGGAGTCAGGCAGCTGTTTGAGCCCCTGGCCTTTCTCCTTCCAGTGCTGTCTGTGGGTGAGGGCCGGGCGGCGGGTGACTCCCTGGGAGCCTGGACCTCCGATCTTTGCTGAAGGAATATCGGTCCTCCCTTCACTTTAGGGAGCCCCAGGGCGGAGGAGTGCTGGTCTGTGGACTTGTTCCGTCCGGATTCCGTGTCTGTCTCACCCGGGTTGGTCTCTGCCGCCTGACTTAACGCATTAGGCCACACCTGTCCCCGGCTCCGTCTGCCCCCTGGTGGACACAGACAGTACTGCAGCGCAGTGATGGCCAGCACTTTCCTCAGGCCAGAGACCCACCCAGCAGGAAATTCTCTCCGAAGCTTTGAAAACCCCGTTAGGCTAGAAAGGGTTAAAAACACATGCTGCCCCGGGAGCCAGCTTGGCAGCATGCTTCCCCTTGACCGAGCCCCTGGCAGGGGGGCGCTGGTCTCGGGTGTCAGCCTGTCCGAGTCCCGTCGGGCTGGCAGGTCCCGGAGCCTGCAGCTCCGAGCACCCTTCCCAACCCCTGGAGGGCCCCAGGCTTCCCCTGGCCTGTGGGACCAGGGTTGGGAGCAGGGAGCGGAGCCAAGAGGCCAGGGAAGGAGGGCCCCGGTCACTCCTGACCTCGGCTACGTGCCTCCATGCGTTCGGGGCCCACGCCTTCCCCGCTGGGCCACCTCCCAGCGGGCTCTGACGGGGCCAGCAGGAGAGCACACGTCACAAAAGCAGCCAGTCCCTTCTTGCTCAGCCTGGAGATGCACGTTTTTAGTATCGGATCTGTTATCTTTATGCTCAAAACAGACCGACTTCCGGGCACCCAGCACTAGAAGGGTCCCCGTGGGTAACTGGCCGTCGGTCTGCCTTCGGATGCGGGCTCCTGGATGTCTGCCTCCCCATCCGAGCCGCCAGACCTGGGAGCTGGCAAGGGGGGGGGGGCGGGGGGGCGGCGTGGCCCAGGCCAGCCGTGCAGGGAGGGCTGGCCCGCTCTCCTCTGCTGTAACACATCCAAGGGGCCAGGAAGTTCAGAGCCTCATTCAGCCCTTAGACTTCCCCCAAGTACAGAGAATGTATCTGAAACCCTTTTTTAAATTAAATTTAATTTAAAAAAATATTTTTTTATTGATTTCAGAGAAGAAGGGAGAAGGAGAGATAGAAACATCAATGATGAGAGTCATCAGATCAGCTGCCTCCCGCATGCCCCTCAGTGGGGATCGAGCCCACAACCCGGGCATGTGCCCTGACCGGGAATTGAACCGTGACCTCCTGGTTCATAGGTCAACCTTCAGCCACTGAGCCACGCCGACCGGGCTGAAATCCTTTGGAGGGGAAGCAGATCTGTGGGACAGGTTGGGGCTCCCAGCTCCGAAGCCCCCCAGGCATGCGGCGTTCAGTCTGCCTAGGCCGTGGGCGCACCGCCTTAGGCCAGCGGGAGTCCCCCCAGGGGACAGCCAGGCCACTGGCCACCCAGCTTTGGCTGTCAGGGAGCCCTTCTGGGGGGTCCTGGGCTCAGGCCACCCTGTGTTCATAATCTCTGGGCCCTGGGTCCGCTGGGCCAGCCCCGTGGCCTCACACACACTCTCCACCTTCGCAGGCACCGGTTAGAGGAGGGTCAGGCCACGAGCTGGTCGCGTCGGCTCAAAGTGTTCCTCTGCTGCACCCGGACGAAGGACTCGCAGTCAGTAAGTACCGGGAGGTCGCGGCCCGGGGCTCCGCCTGCGCTGGCAGAGCGGGTGGGCAGGGCTGGCGGAAGGAACTGGGTTTTGAGCCCTACTCCCGGGGGCAGCCTGCTCCTGGGAGCCCCTCCGCGTGTGAACAGCTGGCCCCTTGCTCTGTTGAGGGAACAGAAAGACGTGAAGGTCTTTCACTGCCCCCCCGGGAGCTGAGTCTAGTGTAGAAGACATCCTCCAACAGCAGGCGACCGGAAGACAGGAAAGCAGCGCGAGCAGCTGCAGGCCCCTCGGAAGGCCCTCCCGCTGGAGCCGTGAGTGCTCAGCGTGGTCCAGGCGCACAGGCGCTCTGAGGAGCAACCCGAGGGCAGACCTGGGGCCGGGCCAGCGGGGGGCGGTCCTGAGGCCGAGCTCCTGGCTCTGGTGGGGCCCTTGGCGATCATCTATTTCCACCCCCCGATTTGCAGATCGGGCAGCTGAGAGCCCCGGGAGGCGGGTGGCTTGCTCAGCTCCCACAGCCAGTTAGAGGCAGAGCCAGGCTCAGGAGGCGCCTCCTCCCCGAGCAGAAGCAGGTGGGCTCCACGGAAGCCCCAGAAGCCTTGACAGGCTCCTTCCCACCTGCAGTCCCCGGGGAGCTGCAGCGTGAGGGGTGAAGTGTAAGGAAGCCCCCCCTTCCCCCCGAGGTTCTCTGATGGGTGGGGAACACCCCCACGGGCCTAGGGGGTCGGAGGGTCACAGCCCGGCACCTGGTGCTCAGCAGGCCATGCAGGGGGCAGGGAGCAGCCCCCTGGCAGATGGGGTGCAGCCTGCCAGGGCCCGTGAGGGGCCCACGTGGCGTCAGGGCTGGTGCTGGAGGCTGGGGAGAAGGCGGAACATGGCAGGGGCCCGGGGTCAGGTCCAGGGCAGGGTTTGCTGCGTTGTTTAAAAGCTTGAATTGGCCGGGCTGGTGTGGCTCAGTGGTTGAGCATCAACCTGTGAACCAGGAGGTCACGGTTCGATTCCCGGTCAGGGCACCTGCCCGGCTTGTGGGCTCCATCCCCAATGTGGGGTGTACAAGAGCCGATCAATGCTCTCTCGTCATTAAGGTTTCTATCTCTCCCTTCCTCTCCCTTCCTCTCTGAAATCAATGAACATATATTTTTTTGAAAAATAACAATTAAAAAAATAAGAACTTGAGCCGGATGCCAGCGTGGAAAGCCAGGGGCGTGTATGTAACGTCCGCGTGTCTGGGTCTGCAGGGCTGCTCGCTGGCGCCGAGTCATAGCTGGAGCCCCATTCGGCCCGTTCAGCGTTGGAATTCGCAGTCCTTGATTTTTCTTTTCTCGCGAGTGCCAGACACTCCAGGGCGAAGCCCCACGAGAGAGAACCGGTTGCCACGCGTTGGCTCCCACCACAGCCTCTCGCAGGTCAGGGACGAGGTTCCGGACTCCAGCTCAGTGTGAGGCAGGAGGAGCCACAGGGCCGTCCCGTCCCAGGTCCCGGGACAGGAGCTTGGTGTTGGCTTCTCTGCAGGAGAGAAAGGCCGGAGGAGGAAGCAGTGTGCAGGGCCGTGCAGGCCTTGGTGCCTGGCGTGTGGGGAGAGAGCAGGAGATGCTCCAGCTGGCGCCTGTGCGGGCGAGGCGTGAGTGCCCTCGGAGCCCAGGCCAGGAGGGCCAGCGTGGAGATGCAAAGGCCCAGTCTGCGGGGCCAGGGCAAGGCCCC